CGCTGTCCCACTGAGCTGTCCCACAGTTCCCACCACTGTCCCCACTGTCCCCACCACTGTCCCCACTGTACCTCTGTCCCATTGTCCCACCGCCGTCCTCGCCACCGCCTTCACCACTGTCCCCACCACCATTGTACCCTCCACAGTCCCACTGTTTCCACCTCATTCCCATTGTCCCCACACCACTGTCCCCACCACCACCGTCACCACCACTGTCCACTGTCCCCCCCTGTTCCCACCATTGTCCCCACCACTGTCCCCGCCACTACCGTCCCCACCACTGTCTCACTGTCCCACTGTCCCCACCACTGTCCCGCTATCCCCTCACCACTGTCCCCACCAACACCGTCCCCACCACTGTCCGCACCCCCACTCGGTTTTCGAGGGGGGGGGGTTCGAACCGGCAGTGACCCCCCCCGGTTTTCCGGATCCGGAGGGGGGGGGGGGGGGGGGGGGGGGGGGGGGGGGGGGAGGGGATCGAACCGGTAGTGACCCCCCCCCCCTTTTCATGATGAGCAGGGGGGGGGGGGGGGGGAGGGTCGAACCGTTAGTGACCCCCCCCGTTTCCGAGGGGGGGGGGGGGTGGGGAGGGGGGGGGGGGGGGGGGGGGGGGGGGGGGGGGGGAGGGGTTTCGAACCGTAGTGACCCCCCCCCGGTTTTCCGCCAGGTTCGAACCGGTAGTGACCCCCCCCCGGTTTTCCGCCAGCAGCGGTAGAACACGCTCTTTCATATATATATATATATGTATGTGTATACATGGATATGGTTGTATCTGTATATGTATATATATATATATATATATATATATATGACTACACGTATATATATATATATATATATATGTATATACACATGTCTGTGCAGATGTCTATGTATGTGTCTACAAGTAGACATAGATATTTATATACCAGACTCAATCAGAATCTTAATGAATCCGTCGGAACCAACAGGAAACACCACAAGTCAATGAGAATCACCAGACATCCTACGTAATCCATGAGAAAGACTAGGAATCGCTATAGGCATCACCCGGAATCGATAGGGATCACTAGTAATCAATAGGACTCCATGGAAATCAAAAGGGGTGAATGATAATCGATTGGGATCAATTGGAGTCAATAGGAATCACTCGGAATCAATATGAATCAGTAGGGATCGATAACAATCAAGACGAATCAAAATTAATTAGCAATCCTCGACCATAACCAATCGGAAGCAATAGGAATCAATAGTAACCCATCGGGATCAAGGGAACCCGTGGGAATCAGTAGGGATCAGTTGTACTCAATATGAGGCAATCCCATCGCCTTTTCTTGAAATTTCCTGATTCCAGGTCATTAGTCTTGATCTTATTGAGTCCCACTGATTCCACGCTACCATAATTGACTTCTGTCGGTTCCGATTGCCTCGGGACCAGTAGGTGTCAATAGGAACCAATAGAAACCACTGCTGCGTCCTGACCACCCTAAGCCATGCCAATTTGCAATTGTAGGAACGTCAGAACCAAGAATCGACGTGAATGTAACGTCCCAACACCCTAACTCGTGCCAGGCCACTAACCATGTGACTTCAACCGTGCGAATCCTTGACCATATTGAAATCTGTCAAATCGACTGTGCGCAGCGCTACGTCGAAAGCCACATTTTCTTGTACAGGAACCACTCTTCATCCTTGAAGCTGTTGCAAGCTTCGGCAAACGTGCGCGTCGCTAAAAGCGAAAGCCCCATTTGAAAACCATCTGCCCTCCATCCTTGAAGCGGTTGCAAACTTGTGAACGAACGTGCGCGACGCTACAGCGAGAACCGCATTTTGAAAGCGGCCCGCACTCCATCAGTGAAACTGAGCAAACTGTCAAAACAAACGTGCGCGGCACTAAATCGAGAACAACATGTTGATAATGATTCGCCCTCCACCCGTGAACCAATTTCAATTTTCAAGCTTCAAGATCATAAACGGTGAGGGAGTCTCAAGCGAAACGCCCTGCCCGCCCCAACGACACGTCTAGGGGTGCGACAGGGGTGAGTCCCGCAGGCTCTCTGGGCGAAGGTGGTCTACCGATGTAAGCTGTTCCTCTTCGAACAACCACCTTCCCTTCGGGGAGGTGTACCTCCCCCCCCCTGCCCAGGTCTGGACGGGGAGGCCTTCGGGGAGGTGCACCTCCCCCCCCCTCTGCTCGGGCCTGGACGAAGGAAGGGCGAGGGGCTCGAGCGCCTGACACGGCCCAGGATGGCCCACGAGGGGCCCAAGATGGCCCAAGATGGCCTCCAAGATGACTCACGATAACCGACGATGGTTCAAGCGAGCTACCCACATACTTTCAAGCGGCCCGACGACGGCCCCGGAGTCCCTCAGGACCCCCCCCCGAGAGGCCACATCCATTCCAACGCCTGAGGAAAATCAAAGAGTGCTGACTTCTCGCATGTTCACTGCCGCTGCACCCTTGAAGCCCTTGAGGCCTCAAGCTGGCCCCACGACGCACCAGAGAGACCCAAGACGGGCCTAAGAGGCCTCCGAGGCGGCCCCCAAGAGCGCCCAAGAGAAGCACAAGAGCTCCCCAAGAGGGCCGAGGGTCCCATGAGGCGATTTCGAGGACTCTGGGGGGGAAGGACCCCCCCTTAAATCGATGGCCTCCGAGATGGTCCCACGATGCTCTCCAGTGCTCCCACGGGACTCCAAGGAGGGCTCCAAGAAGGCCCAAGGACCTGCAAAAAACGCCCCAAGAGGACCCCAAGGCTCCCCCCAAAAGAGTCCCAAGAAAGCTCCAAGAGGCGATTTTGAAGGCTCTCTCCGCGTCCTCCTTGTCCTCCTTGTCGTCCTCGTCCACGACCTCGTCCTCATCGTCTTCCGTCTCCCATTCCTCCTCTTCCTCATCGTGGTCGTCGTCGTCACCTTCTTCCGCCTACTCCTCCTCCTCATTCTCTCGCCTCCACGCGGGCCCGAAGAGACACGCCAAGGCAACCTTCTTGCTCCCCAAGATCTCTGTTCACCCTGGTTGCCCGCTTTTTTCACCAACCGTGTCTCGTCATCCCTTTTCCCTGTCAGCACTCATGGGCAGGGTTTCCAAAATGGCTGGTGGGAATACTCTTTGGTCCGCGGCTCCGAGGCGAGAGACAGGGAGCGAGCACAACGTCCGGGGCGCGGTACGATTGGGCTGGTGGGAATACTTTTTGTTTTACAGCCGCAGGCGGAAGCGCCGGCGGCGAGCAGTCACGGTCGGGCTGCGGCCGCGGCTAGATTCCCGGGCGCGCGCGGGGCCGCGGATCAGGCGGCAAGCAGCGGCAACCCAGGGCGTCTGGGGGGCCAGGCGGTCGTGCCATCCCAGGGAGTCTGAAAGGTCAGCCACCTGAGAGGTCGTGCAAGCTGCAACCCAGGGAGTCTGAGAGGACAGCCATCGGGCGAGCCAGGCGCGGCCAAAATGGCGCGCAGTACGCTCCAGGCCGCGATCGTGACGAGACAACCGCGGGCTGGTGGGAAAACGCGAAGCGTGAACAATCACGCATGAGGAAAGGGGACGGACAAAGAGGAGGAGGGAGGAGGAGGAGGACGAGGAGGGAGGAGGGAGGAAGGAGGAGGATGAGGATGAGGAGGATGAGGATGAGGATGAGGATGAGAACGAGGGAGGAGCGAGGAGGAGGAGGAGGAGGAGGAGGAGGAGGAGGAGGAGGAGGAGAGGAGGAGGAGAAGAAGGAGGAGGAGGAGGAGGAGCGCGAGGAGGGGCCGCCCCGAGCGTGGGCGCGGGCCTTGTCGGCCGCGCTCCTGCAGAGGGTGGCGGGTCGCGGCGCGAGGAGGGGAGGGGGGGAGCCCAGCGGGCGGCTCCCGGCCTCTCCTGGGAGGGGCCCAGGGGCTCGAGGGAGGAGGGAGGAGGAAGGGAGGATGGAAGAGTAGGAGGAGGAGGAGGAGGGGAGGGAGGGGCCGAGGGGAAGACGAGAAGGAATGGAGGGGAGGAAGACGAGGAGCGGAGGGAGGATGGGATGGAGGAGAAGGGGGAGGAGGAGCGGAGAAGGAGGAGGAGGAAGAGGAGGAGGAGAAGGAAGAGGGGGAGGAGGAACAGGAGGAAGAGGAGGAGGAGGAGGAGGAGGAGGAGGAGGAGGAGCGGAGCTCCCTACGTTTATGCGCATGCCTCTCCAGCTCTCCGAGCCGAGGGCGCCTCGCGGAGGGACGGAGCCCCGCGCGAGCGCCGAGGGAGTCGCTGCTGCAGGGGGAGGGCATGCGGGCGAGGTGGGCGACAGTGGGGCAGCCGGCATCCGGATCAGGGGGACGTAAGACCTGGGTACAAGGGACTCGGAAATCCCCGACGAAGTCGTCAAAAAAATGACGAGGCCGTGCCTGCATTTTGACGAGGCCTCCCGCTGCAGACATCCCACGAAACTCCTCCTCGTCAAAATCCGAGGCGCGGTCGTCAAAACACGATGGCGAACCCGAGTCCTGGCAAACCCGGGTCTTACGCTCCCCCGACCGGAGAGGGCGGGACGGACCACGGAGGCCGGCCGCGCGCGCGAGGTTCGGGCCCGGCTGTGCCGGGTGCTGCCCGCTGTGGGCCCTGGGCCATCGGGCCACCTGGCCTCTCGCTCCGCCCTGGGCGCCCCTGGAACGTTGCGCTCCGCCGTGTCTGCTGCCGAGTCGGGCGCCGCGGTTTCTCGCACCCGTCACCGGGAGTTCCTGGCCCCGGCTGCACTTGCAACCCTGGAGCCGCTGCCTTTGTCCGGGCTCCTGGGAGCAGTTTTTGTCCGACCCGTCCCAGGTTCCCGAAACATGCTCTGGGAGAGGGCCAAAAAACGGCGGCCGCTGGCGGGGCCCACCAAGCCCCAGGGAGCTCTGGGTCTGGACACGGGGTGCTCCGGAGGCAAGTGAGGGCCCCCGTGGGAAGCCTGAGGGCACGCGTGGGACACCGAGGCCTCTGGTTCCACCCGGCTGCGGCAGCGGGCGGTCCAGGGGGAATCGTGCGACGGGTGCAGCACGAGGCCGCGAGGAGGCGTTCGGCGGTGCGGGCGCTTTTGTGGTCTGCGGCGAGCTTGCTCCAACAGGCGGTCGGCTGGCGGCGGGACGCGTCCGTGGCGAATTACTGCAGCCTGCCAGAAGCACCAAGGGCTCCCAACTTCGCGCTTCGCGCTGCACGAAGCGCGAAGCGCGAATAACTTCGCGCTCTCGCGCCGCCCCCACAAAGGGAGAAAAGGAGGACGAGGAGGAGGGGGAGAAGGAACGAGGACCGCGAGGCGCGAATAACTTCGCGCCCTCGAGGGCGCCCTTGAAGCACAGGAGGGGCACGACGGGAGGAAGCGGCCGCGGAACGGCCAGGAAGCGCTCAGACCGTGTGGGCCTTCGAGCGGCGCCGGAGGCCAAGCTCGGGAGCACGCGGTGCGGGCACGCGCAGTCCTCGCAGGACCGCTGCAAGAGATCGGGGAGCTTTGCGGGCAAAACTCGTGTCCATCTCCACTGCAGCTTGGGGTTTCGGACTCCCTTCCCCAGAAAGCCGAGGATCAATGGATATGGATAAAAATCAGGCCCCTACTAGAGGCTCGAATTTTATCCCTATCCAGTACGCCTCGGCCTTGCGGCGCCCCTTCCACGAAAGTCCAAGACGCCCTGGATATGGATATGAATATTGCCCGCAAGCTTGCCCGTCGTTGTTCCCGGGTCGTCCAGGGACTTTTGCAGGTCCCTGGGGCATCTGCGGGACAAGAGATCGCCGAGCCACACCCCCCTGTGGGGCCGATTCCGTGTCTGATGCGCCTGCTGTCATCGTCTGCAAGCCGCGCCTACTGGATTGGCCTCTGTGCCACAAGACAGAAGCTGCGCCCTTTGACTCTCGCTGGGACAAACACGGAAGCAGAAACTGTTGGATGTCCGCGCGGATCTCCGAGGAATCGATGAGGACCTCCGAATACGAATGTTCAAGCATGTGTTCCATCCTCAATTCACTGCCTTCCTCCACCGACCTCCTCCGCGCGGAGGCCTGTGCACATCCGCCTGCGGAAAGACGTCCTGGGACACCAGCGGGGGGTGGATATGGATATTTATAAAGATACGAATATGGATGTTAATATATATATGTGTAACCCTTTATATATATATATATATGTATATGTATATGCTTATGTATGTATGTGTATATATATAAATGCATATAATCACATATGAACGACGGTAATACAACAATTACGCTACCGAGGAACCCCACATACTGTTTTTATGTCTTGTGTGAACCGCGCTACCACTACCACCGCCGTCATGCTCTCAGGTGCCCCCTGTGGTCGTTGAAAGGAGGGGGAGGACGTGTGGGGGGAGAGGAGGGGTTGAGGAGTCATCTGTGACGGTCATATCCGGCGTCGCCTGGCACTTGGATACGAAGGGTAATACGCAATCCCGCACCAGAGGCTATGCCTGGACGACCCTGGCACGCATAGGGAGACCACCCCCTGCGCACCCCCTCTGGTGTCGAGAAAATGCTACGCCTGCAATGCCTGGACGACCCTGGCACGCATAGGGAGACCACCCCCTGCGCATCCCCTCTGGTGTCGAGAAAATGCCACGCCTGCAATGCCTGGACGACCCTGGCACGCATAGGGAGACCACCCCCTGCGCACCCCCTCTGGTGTCGAGAAAATGCCACGCCTGCAATGCCTGGACGACCCTGGCACGCATAGGGAGACCACCCCCTGCGCACCCCCTCTGGTGTCGAGAAAATGCCACGCCTGCAATGCCTGGACGACCCTGGCACGCATAGGGAGACCACCCCCTGCGCACCCCCTCTGGTGTCGAGAAAATGCCACGCCTGCTATGCCTGGACGACCCTGGCACGCATAGGGAGACCACCCCCTGCGCACCCCCTCTGGTGTCGAGAAAATGCCACGCCTGCAATGCCTGGACGACCCTGGCACGCATAGGGAGACCACCCCCTGCGCACCCCCTCTGGTGTCGAGAAAATGCCACGCCTGCTATGCCTGGACGACCCTGGCACGCATAGGGAGACCACCCCCTGCGCACCCCCTCTGGTGTCGAGAAAATGCCACGCCTGCTATGCCTGGACGACCCTGGCACGCATAGGGAGACCACCCCCTGCGCACCCCCTCTGGTGTCGAGAAAATGCCACGCCTGCTATGCCTGGACGACCCTGGCACGCATAGGGAGACCACCCCCTGCGCACCCCCTCTGGTGTCGAGAAAATGCCACGCCTGCTATGCCTGGACGACCCTGGCGCGCATAGGGAGACCACCCCCTGCGCACCCCCTCTGGTGTCGAGAAAATGCCACGCCTGCTATGCCTGGACGACCCTGGCACGCATAGGGAGACCACCCCCTGCGCACCCCCTCTGGTGTCGAGAATGCCCGACGCCTGATATGCCACTACCCTGCCCGCATAGGAGACCAATGCCTGCCTGCTGTGCCTGGACGACCGGCACGGATAGGGAGACCCCCCCTGCGCACCCCCTCTGGTGGCGAGGGCCGCTGTCCTGGACGACCACGCATAGGGAGACACCCCCTGCGCACCCCCTCTGGTGTGAGAAAATGCAACCCGGCTATGCCTGACCCTGGCACGCAAGGGGAACACCCCTGCACACCCCTTCGGTGTCGAGAAAAGCCACGCCTGCTCCTGGACGACCTGGCCACGCCAGGGAGACCACCCCTGCTCACCCCCTCTGGTGTCGAGAAAATGCCCGCCTGGCCTGGACGACCCTGGCACGCATGGGGAACACCCCCTGCGCACCCCCTCTGGTGTCGAGAAAATGCCACGCCTGCAATGCCTGGACGACCCTGGCACGCATAGGGAGACCACCCCCTGCGCACCCCCTCTGGTGTCGAGAAACTGCCACGCCTGCAATGCCTGGACGACCCTGGCACGCATAGGGAGACCACCCCCTGCGCACCCCCTCTGGTGTCGAGAAAAATGCACGCCTGCTATGCCTGGACGACCCTGGCACGCATAGGGAGACCACCCCCTGCGCACCCCCTCTGGTGTCGAGAAAATGCCACGCCTGCTATGCCTGGACGACCCTGGCACGCATAGGGAGACCATCCCCTGCGCACCCCCTCTGGTGTCGAGAAATGCCACGCCAGCTATGCCTGGACGACCCTGGCACGCATAGGGAGACCACCCCCTGCGCACCCCCTCTGGTGTCGAGAAAATGCCACGCCTGCTATGCTTGGACGACCCTGGCACGCATAGGGAGACCACCCCCTGCGCACCCCCTCTGGTGTCGAGAAAATACCACGCCTGCTATGCCTGGACGACCCTGGCACGCATAGGGAGACCACCCCCTGCGCACCCCCTCTGGTGTCGAGAAAATGCCACGCCTGCTAGGCTTTGCGTGTGTATGTGTGTCTGTGTGTGTCTATGTGTGTCTGTGTCTGTTAGTGTCTGTGTGTATGTGTGCTGTGTGTATATGTGCTGTGAATATGTGTGTGTGCTGTCAGCACTAATGCAAGTGAGAAAGTGCTGTGCTGTGCTGTGCTGTGCTGAACTGTGCCGTGCTGAGCTGTGCCGTGCTGAGCTGAGCTGAGCTGAGATGTGCTGACCAGTGCTGTGAGGAGGAAGGGAAGAGTGAGGTGTGAGTGTCGCGGGTGCAGGGAAGAAAACCAGAACCCCACGAAGCATGTGGGGAAAAAACAGGTCGTACGCGAGATGGCACAGTGACCTAACAGGGCGGCTTACGCGGGCCGCCAGCGCGGCACGCTACATTGGAGGCGCGGGCGTTCACGCGCGACCTTACGAGGGCAGCTTACGCACCAATGTCGGGGCAAACGACCCCGTTTGTTTTTGTTGCGTCGCTCATAAGAATTGCCCCCCCCCCCCCCCCCGGGGCGCCCGAATATGTGTCCATACCCACCGCCTGCCGGGGTCCTTGGATATTTCTCCTCCGCAGCCTTGTCGACTCGATCTCGGCTCCCAACTGGGGCCACAGGAGAACAGGCCGGACAGGCCGGGCAGAGCCGTAATGACAAACCTCCTCTCGGCCACGCAAGGAACACAACGTTTCCCGTATGCCAGCCATCACATCACCATTTTCGAAGTCACTGCGATTGCGTCCTCCTCCTCCTCGCCCTCCTCCTCCTCGCCCAGGGCCGAGGTAGAAGTGCGCTTGGCTCCTCCAACCTCTGGCCGCTCTGTCGATGAGGCCACCCCCGTGAAGCACGGAGATGCCGTGGGTGCTGTAGTCGAACTCGGTCCCGTAGTGGCCTGAGAGACAGCAGAGAAAACACAGCTCCACCTCATCCCCTTCGCCTCCCCCTCCCCTCCTCCGTCCTCCTCCTCCTCCTCCTCCTCCTCCTCCTCCTCCTCCTCCTCTTCCGCCTCCACTACCACCCTCCTCCGTCCTCCTCCTCCCCTCCTCTTCCCCCTCCTCCGTCCTCCTCCTCCTCCTCCTCCTCCTCCTCCTCCTCCTCCTCCTCCTCCTCCTCCGTCCTCCTCCTCCTCCTCCGTCCTCCTCCTCCTCCTCTTCCGCCTCCACCACCGCTCACCCCCTATCGTCTCCTCCTCTCGGAGCAGGGCGAGCGTAGGCGACGGTAGCTCAAAATCGATCCCACGACCACTCCCAGGATGCAAACGCATAAATTGTCCGAGCTGCTTTGAACAGTGGCGACGGCCCCCCCCGTAGGCCAACTACCTTTGTCTCAACTGGACGTTATCTGATCCTCATCCTCCTCCTCGCCCATCTCCTCCTTCCCCTCCTCATCCTGGTCAGCTCAGGAGCGAGCAGGATGACCACAAGTTCCTGGTCGTCTTCGCTCTCGTCGACACTCCCCTCCGACAATCTTCTTCGACCATCCTCTCCGACCATCCTCTCCGACCATCCTCTTCGACCATCCTCCTCTTCGACCATCCTCTCCGACAATTCTTTCCGACCATCCTCTTCGACCATCCGTGCCCTGCTCCTCCTCTTCGACCATCCTCTCCGGAGCTCTCTCCGAGCCACACCGCCGTAATGCCGCGCGCCAGGGCCCTCTCACTGCTTCTTCTTCTTCTCGAGCTTCCTCTTGTAGAACGTCAGCTCGTCACCCTCGAGGACGTAACCGTCGCAACGGCCGCTCTGCCCCGGGCGGGAGGCGATGCACGCGAGCAGCCGGCCGCTCTGGAACTGGTCCTCCACGCCTGGGTCCAGCTTCTGCTTCGACGCCAGGTACTTCTGCTTCGCCATGACGTGGTGGCTCCTCTTGACCTCCTCCTCGCCCTCCTTCTTGACGGGGGCCCCCTTGACCTTCTTGCCGAGGTCTACGCCGTACTTCTTGAGGTAATACTGCTTGAAGGGCTGCGCATCGATCTGCACTATTGCGTTCTTCACGAGGGTCTTCGTACGCACGAGCTCGTTGCTGCTGGCGTTGTAGACGACGTCCAGGACGCGAACCTTCTTGGTGCTGTTCTCGGTCCCCCACGCGAAATTGCCGCTGTCCAGGCGGAGGGCGCGGTACTTCATGTTGCCCCCGCGGCCGCGCACCGGGCGCACGCGCTTGGAGCCCAGCTTGCAGTGGGCCCACGGCCGGCCCATCTCGTACTTGCGCTTCTTCTGGTGGATGTTTCTGCGGCCGCCGGTCTTGCGGTGCTTGTGGCGGGAGTCGCGCGAGATGCCCATGGCCCCGACGGATCGCGGGAGCGGCGGTCGGCGGGGGGCGTGCGAGCGCGGGCGGGGCACCGAGAGAGTTTCGCCTGGAGCCAGAGTGGAGCGGAGTGGTCACGGAGGAGGGCGCCGGGAGCTGCACAAGAGTCCTCGGTAGGGTGCGGGGGCGGAACAGGTCGACGAGGCTGAGCGGCAGCAGGAGGCTGACAAGGAGGAAGGGGACGAGCAGGGGGGCAGGGAGGAGGTGGACGACCGTCGGTCCGGACCTTCCTCCTCCAACTCCTCCTCCTCCTCCTTCTGGTGACCTGGCTACTGCGGGCTTTGGGCCTTACCCTCCCCCTCCTCGTCCACTCCTCCCTCCTCGGCCATCCAGGAAACGAGGAAACTCCTCCTCCTTCTCCTCCCTCTGCTCCTCCTCCTCCGCTTCTTCCTCCTCCTCCTCCTCCTGCGCGGTCCCGATGTCGCAGGCAGATATCCAACAATCGTGCAGCACGTTGAGGAGAACAGTTGTCGTGTTGGGAGGAAGGGGTTGGGAGCATGAAGGGCACGAGCAATAACATCCGGATGCAATGAACGACAACTTCGGCCGCCTGCGAGTAAGAATACCTTCCTTTCTCCAAGTCCCACCCTCCCAACCCGAGAAATATCTTCCAAACGCTTGAATAGACAAAAAAGAAACCACATAAACATAAACTTCTGGCGCTCCGCGAGGATTTCTTGGATCCGCGCTGGGCCCCCCTCCATGGCGCGCGGAGCGCGCCATGGGCGGCGCCGGAGGCGCCGCCAGGGGGGCCCTGACGTGGATCCAAGAAATCCGCGCGGAGCGCCAAAAGTTTATGTTCATGTGGTTTGTTCTCTTCGAGTGAAGCGCGAAGGGGGCGACGCGTACCGACGGGGCGGGCTTCTGCCGGACACGGGGTCGCAAGCACGCTCGGGCCGCCCGGCGGCGCGTGCCCCGCAAGAACCTTCCCTTGCCCCCCCCCGCCAGGGCCACGGCGGCAGGGGCTCTCCGCTGTCCTCGCCCTTCCATCCCTCTTTCTTTCCCTCCCTCCCCCCTTCTCGTCGTCGTCGTCGTCTTCCTCCTCCTCCTCCTCCCTCCTCCTCGTCCCTCCTCGTCGTAATCGTCGTCGTTGTCGTCCTCTCCTCGTCCTCCTCTTCCTCCTCCTCCTCCTCCTCCTCCTCCTTCTCCTCTCCCTCCTGCTCCTCCTTTCCCTCCTGCCTCTCCCCCTCCCCTCCTCCTCCTCCTCCTCCTCCTCCTCCTCCTCCTCCTCCTCCTCCTCCTCCTCTCCTCCTCTCCTCCTCCTCCTCCTCCTCCTCCTCCTCCTCCTCCTCCTCCTCCTCCTCCTCCTCCTCCTCCTCCTCCTCCTCCTCCTACTCCTCCCAACATTGTACTCTTTTCGCGCGCCGACCCAGGCAACAAAGGGCGGACAGAGAGGTGGACCGCAACATGCTGATGGAGTGCTTGTGCACAGGGCGTATCCGAGCAGAGTACTTGGAAGTCTTTGACCGAAACTCGAAAGCCGCCGCCGACCCGCAGCCAAGAGGAGCACCAGCGAAGGCATCCCGGACTTCGACCCAGACAGACGGCACGGCACCGCCCCCCCCAGCCGCGGACAAGCGAGCCCGGAGGGACCGTCACTGGCGAAGGAATCTCGGAGTGCGGGCCGTGATGAGTGAACCGAGGAGGCCCACCAGGAGACCTCGCCATCCCTGGGGGGCCGCGATCTGCGAAAGTGTCGTCACTTTCGAGAATTGCTGGGGGTGCAGCGGAGTGACGTCCTACGCGGACCACCAGGAGACCTCGCCATCCTTTGGGGCTGCGATCTGCGGAACTGTCGCCACTTTCGAGGGCTGCTGGGGGGGGAATGGGTGGAGCTCAAGACTGGCCCACAGCAAACCAGATGTGGAAGCGACGGAACGAGGCTGGCAGATAAGCGGTGCAGGAGGTTTTCCCAGCCAAGAGAAGGAGGGCCCTGGAGTGGCAGCCGTTCAGAAACTGCGCTCCTTGTTGGCCGAACGGATGCGATTGAGAATGGGCATGGTAGAATCAGAGACGAAAGGGAGGCTGGCGGACATTAAAAAGGAACTCGCGAACATCCAGAATGTGCTTCGGAGGCACAGGAACGACCTGGAGGCTGCCAGGAAGAAAAACTGGCGGATGAGATATGGCAAGCGTACGAGAACAGCCGCAGCGAGATGCACAGACTGCGTATCGAGTACCAGCGGAATGGGAGAGGACCAATGAAGAGGTACTATTTTTCGGCGCGAACTTGGTGGGACACACCGGAATCGCCAAGATAACTGGGGAAGCACCCTCACGATGGGGGTTTGGCTGCGGTCCCACTGGGCTTGGAGACATAACAGGAGGAGTAGCATGACATGATCGCCAAAAAGGTACCACTCCCACTGGATGGAGATTTGCACAAGCTGGTGGGGAGGGACAAGCGGGACATGCTGAAGTGCTGTAGGGAAGCTACAGAGAGAAGGGCTTCCCCCCACCCGTGGGGCGTCCCAATGAAACTCGCTAGGATGAGGTTGGCTCCCACGGCCAACCTGAAAGACCCAGCGCTGCTGCGCAGGAAGATGGATGAGTGGCGAATCCGAGCAGCGGAGCAACGCGAGGACGACGAGGACGCAGCCAAGTGCAGCTCCCTCCACAAGTGCAAAGTCGGCAGGGCGATGCTGCAGCTGGTAGGGTGGAGGGCAGGCGCTGCGCTGGGACGGGCAGAGCGAGCTGGCGATGGAGAAGCACTGCGAGCGAGCGACAGGTACGCGTACCACCTGGGGAGGCATGAGAAGGCTGGGGCGGTGTCGCCAGCGCTGGAGGCTGAGGCCAGTTTGGAGTGCAGGAGCAAACTAGAGGACATCCTCATTAAGCGCCGCCAGTCACAAGCCACGCCGTTGGACTGGCACAGGCCGATTTCTGTTCCAGCGGAGAAAGGCAACGACAAGCAGGGCATTGGGGGCAAAAGAGCCACGCATGCGCACTGCTCAATGGGAGTGGCCTTTCAGAAGGGAATCGTCACAGCGGACAAGCACCGGGTCACCTTTGCTGGGCACAAGGCGGACTTCGGAATCAGTCAAGGGGGCACGCAATTGCCTGCGTCGAGGCTGCGCAATGGAGGGCGAGGCACGCGAGGATCAGTACCGTTGCCAGCAGCTGCGGCTGCACCAACGCCTTCGCGAGCACACGGCGCAACCTCTGGCTGGCCTCGGCCTTTGCCGCGCCGAAGGAGGAGGGCCAGTCCTTTGCAGCCGAGGAGATCAGCAACGCGGCGCCGAGCATGGAATGCGCCGACGGCTGGGTCCACGCGCTGACCGCCCAGGGCGCGCAGGTGGGATTTACTCTGCGCCCGCGGCAAGTTATAATACTTCCAAAGTCGACGTGGGACAATAGCACCAGGAGGAGCGGGGGAGGCGCGGGGCGCAGATGGCGCACGACGCGACGAACCCGATTGCGGGGCGGGAGCACGACCTCTCGCTCAACGCGTTCATGGGCGACATCACCAAGACCCACGCGGTGCCCCCACCCACCCGACGCAGGAGCGGACTGGTGCAAGCGAGGGCTTCTCGGAGCACCAGCCAGCTCGCGGCGAGAGCGAGGGCATCTCGGCTTTTCGAGGCGCGCCTCCAGCGCGGGAAAGGGGGGCGGGCAATCGCGGGCGCGCAGAACGGCGGGGCAGATCAACGCCACCACCGAGCGCCTTGAGCGAACATTGGCCATTGGAGGATGAGGTCTCAACCCAGCCAGGAACAACCACCTTTTTTTTATATTATTATCGGTTTTAATTATTTTTTCCTGGCTCCTGGGCGAGACGGGGTTGCGCGCCAGTTCCAACGGGAAGCACGGCAAAGGCCCGCAGATGAAGGAGAGGCGCGCGCCGGGGCAATACCTGCCAGGCGACCAAGACGACCTGGGAGAGATCCGTCGGAGGTGCGTGGCCATGCGCATAGCCCACAGGCGATGCGGGCGTTTCTGGCCTTAAAATACGTCGGACAAAACTAAGAAGAACATGTCCGAGGCCTTTACTTCGGGCGCGGGCCTGCGTGGGCGGTGGGCCTTCGAACTCCAGGGCCGCCACTCCGGCGCGCTGGGCCGCGCCGCGGCAATGCTGCTGAGACGGGCGGCGGGAGGCAGGATGAGCTGGACTCAAGGGGATGGTTCGACCAGGTGCTACTCCAACGATGAGGTATTCAAATGGTGGACGACGGCACGCTGCGCCACTTCATTGCGAACCTGCAGGCTACGATGGCGCATGCAATGGGCACGGTGCCCAGAGGACATCGGCAGTGTACAAGCGGCGGTATTTGGAACATCGGAACTGGACCACGTTTGCGGAATCGAGCGGCTTGAACATGGATGGGTTTGCGCGGCGCCCGCGACCTGGGCTCAGCAGTTTGTCAAATATTTTCACGCGCAGGCAGAGATCGGCAAGGGCTCGGCGAACTGGCACCCGCAGAGGCATTCCGACGTCTCCACGCGTCGACCTGGCGGATTGGCACGGACCCCAGTAGCCTTCGCCAAGCTGGACACATTCGGGACGCTACCCTGCCAGAAGTCCCCGAAGGGAGCGATCTCTTCACCCCATTGCGGCGCGACTGGGAGCAGGGTGCTGAGGGGCAAGCGCGCGGGGGGCGCAAGTCACCGCCGCGGCGGCGCTGGCGGCGCGCGGGAGAGCGGCGCTTAACTGCCGAGCTATGGGCCCTGGCCGAGGGGCGACCAACCATTGCCCCTGGTGCTCGAGCTCGTTCGCAACGAATATATCGCGGTTGACCATGTCGAGGGGGCCGCGGAGAGCCGCGGGATGTGCCGCGAAAAACAGAAGCAGGCGGAACCACCCCGTGCAGGGGCCCTCTTCCCTCGACTGCTCCCTCTGCGGCGATCAGGCTCAAACGCTCGGGGAGTTTCAAAACCGCGTCCGCTGCCGCCATCCGGGCCCCGACAGCGCCCCGCCCCCTGAGGATGGCGAGTGCTTCTCGGCGACTGCCCCGCCCCAAACGCGGAGCCGGCGAAGGGGTGGAAGGCGAGACGATGCGCCGCAAAGGCGACGAAGGCAAGGGCAAAGGCCACTGGGGAATGTGCGCGACTCGCCCCACGGCGGCAGGGGGCGCTCTTTCGGCCGCGGCCGAGGCAGCGGGGGGGGGCCACAGGCCCCCCCGCCAACAACCCCAGCCAATCGCGGCTGAGAGAAGGCTGAGACAGGCTCGGCGGCGGAGCTGGCTGGGCGGCGGCCTCCTCTTGAAGGCCCCCAGAGAGCAAAAGGCCCCGAGAAGTT